ATCTCAGAGGGAGTAAATAAAGGGAAAACAGAAGGGGGCCAAGTATAGATCCGTGAGGTACTCCACATTTGAGAAGTGAACCCTTAAAAAGCCTCTTTTTTGTCTGCATACCTCCTAAATCGAAGGATCAGCTGGTCTTTCAACAAAATTGACCAAATTCTCCCGACAGGAGTCAGGGTAAGGAGGACCCTCTTACCTCGATGGAAACAAATTGGATTCATGATGACAACTGTTTATTGTTGTTTGGCTGGTGAATTCTGGATTGTCTACAAATTTGTGTGGATGTGTCGAAGCTTGACAGCGCTCAGGCTGAATTATGTGCATTTGCGTCAGAGAGCTGGAACAGTGGTTATCAGGACTGTGGACTCTCTAACAACACATATGAAGGTGGGAATAATCTTGGAGAAGCTGTGAGCTCGACTTTCGGCATAAAGAATCAATATGGCTGTTTGGAGTTTCCATCAGAGGAATATATACCAGCGAGACTTTAAAAGGCAGAAACAGCAATTCACGAGTTCTGCCTGACCCAAAATTGAGGCCTTGACGCCGGACTTAACTCAACTCCTCCTGGCATGTTTTGAAAACGACAAAGACGCTTTGTCTGTCTCCTCACCACTCCCTTCCCCAAGGCCGTGGACATGTGACAGAACCTCAACCGAGCTGGTGATAAATGACACCTCTTATCTGGACAATGGCTGGGGGGGAGGGGGGGGGGGAAAGGGGGGATGCTCTGGACTATGCTACGACTTTCCCTTAAAAATTCAACGTCTTCATTGGCCTATATGTACACGTATCACGTCTATGTATGTTGCTTTGCTATGGTAGGTTTTTTTGATGCCTCAAATCGTGCCCTGTCTAGGTGTGAGAGATTTTTTTTATACCGTCTCTCCTCATGTTTTCTTCCCTTTTCTCATCCAAGCAAAATATTATTCTGAATAAGAATAATGAGGGTCGCGCTATTTATAGTAGCAGCTTGGTGCACTCCACCCATCTTTTGGACGACTGTACGTACATATTCTCGTTCTAGCTCAGTGCAATGATAATAAAGCTTATTCTGATACAGAGGACTCCATAGAACCAATACACACAAAAAAGCTTCTCTCTTGTTAAATAGGATTTAAACCTCTGTAGAGCAGGACCCTGAATGCCCACCCAATTCTCCAGACGAGACAGGAGGATCTATGGTCCACTGTGTCGAAGGCAGCAGTTAGGTCCAACAGCATTAAAACTACACAGTGACCAGAGTCTGTGGCTAAGAGAATGTCATGGCAAAAATGGCAAAAACTGTCAGTTCTGATCATTAGTTAAAACTGAGACATGAAAGGTGGTGGGAGACCTGGATTCCTTCAGAAAAGTCGAGGCTATTAAATATAAAATTATTCAAGATGACTGAATTTTGTTCAATTACTGGTGTCATCTGTTAGCAAGTGTAAAACATTTTAGATGTAACCACCAGAGGTGTAATATTTATTTTTAATTCCTCGTGGGGTTTTCCTTTTTATCATCAGAGGTTTCACATGGACTTCTATACTCAAACACTTCAGACACAACACAAAGTCCATTTTGGAGAACCAGAACACAGAGATAATCAACCTAATGTTTTCATTCATACACAGAAGGCAGGGTGTCGAGACAAGCAGAGTAAACCATCATTCAACCACTGCGGATATTTAAAAAATTAATCCGCAGCTCAGCTGATGTTTTTAACACTTCAAGGGGCCACTTTAAAGTTCCTAGAGGGCTTGAATTATTTTCTGTTTCACTTGCACTTTATTTTAATTAATTATCACTCCTTTCTGCCACGAGCAGCACACTTTCTCTTTGTTTTGTCCCGCACAGCCTAAGAAGCAGCTTAGAACGTCTGCTACAAGTGCATGTGGCAGAACACGTGCACTCTTTCTATTAGGAGAAAGTTTAGTTTGGCACTTTGCATCTTTTACACAAACACTGCTGATGATGTTCTGCATGCTAGAGCTGGCAGAAGAAAAGTTTGGGCTTTTATCACTTCAGAGTACAACTCATTGATAATTCCCTCTAATAACAAAAAAAATGTTTATTATTGTGCAAATTTTATATTTTCAAACAACAATTGTCAAGTACCCTTGGTGCCATTGTTAGCATTGAGCTTTCCAAACTGTGCCTCGCACTGAAGATAACACACTTGAATACTGAGAGGCAGGAGGTTTTTGGGGCATGACATGAGGAGCTATTAACGAGATGAAATATATTTTCAGTTCCTCTTTCAGCCACAGTCAGTGTGACACACTGACACTAACTAGGCTCTATGGAGAAACAAATGAATTCCCAACTTTTGAAGGTAGCAAACGCTGAACTGAATAATATTCTCCTGCTTTGAGTGTATAAATGTGTTTGTACAGAAGTAATTTCTTTCAGTTTTTTTTTTTTTTTGCACAGATATCAGCTGTTAGTCTATTTTAAAACATGCCATCTATCTGCAAATCTGCACACACGTTTGTGTATGAGAGTTCCTGCTGTCCCAGAAAAAAAAAACAAAACTGTCATTTCCACATTTCTCATCCCAAATCGCTTGTCAGGCTGTGAATGGATGGTTCTGAAATTTGCAGATCGCTTCTGAATCACACCACATCAGTGTCATATATGTTTATGACACTGATGGCGGAGGCGTGGAGGCTGGGTGGGGGTGAGTGGTGGTTTGCAGCACAACAGAGAGGAAAAACAAACAGGTCTCCAAGGTGATGGAGAAGATTTCTGCGTCTGAAACCAATGTGCTTATTATGAGAGTGGCAGGCTAAATAAGGCTGGAGGATGAGCGGGGAGTCTTGATGGAGCGCAGTAATCACCGGTAATTTGCAGACCTTAGTTTCAGCACACAAACACTTTGCATAATGCGTCTGAGAAGGTGTACATCTGCAGCCAACAGCGTTCAGAAACCAGTGAAGACATCTCAGAGTAAAAGAGTCCTCAACCTTAATTACAAAAAGGCCTCGTCCAGACCTTGATCTATGATGAGTCTTTTAGTGATCAAATTAAATTCAGATAATGCTTAATGCAGGTGTGAATAGCATCAATGCTCATTGAAAGCCTTTGTGAAAAACCACCTAGTGAGGTGTTTCACATTACCATCTTTGGAAATGGTCTGGATCACATTTATCTCCGTTTGTCAGTCTGAATGCAATCTGTCTTACGCCAAGTTGCAGGAACTCTTACTAAATTCATGTACATAAGTAGCAGGTTTTTTTTATTGGGGGGGGGGAGGAGGGGGCATTTTAGAGTATAGTAGTCCCTCGCTACTTCACGGTATCGCGTTTTTAGTTTCAAAATAAGATTGGACATAACACACAATTGGATGATTGATGGATGAGCCGCACGATCGGAATGAAATTTCTATTTAAAATAAATTATTGTAGATTATTTAGCACCTGCTGCACATTTGTGCAGCCCAAAGATGCAGAAAAAGCTTCCTCCTGCATCTTTGGGCAGCCCATACAGGATAACCTTCATGCTGCAGCTGATCAGCTGTTCACCGTGCAGAGATGAGAAATGGGCGTGGCCAAGAGCGCTTGCAGGTGGCAAAGAGCAGCGGAGGCAGGGAGCTGAGATCATGACATTCTGTGCTCTTTTAGAGCGTTTAGAGTTTAGAAACATTGTTTAGAATATTGCAGGAGTATGGGAAGGGTTTAAAACACCTTAGTATATATATCTATATAAATAATAAAATGAACTACTACTTATACTAGTACTACTATTCCTACTTTGTGGTTTTTATCGTGGGTTTTCAGGGTACGGATCCCCCACAATAAACAAGGGACTACTGTAAAAGATCAAAGTTTGGTCAGCTGAAAAATAGACTGTTTATCTGAATCCTTCTCAATAAAAATGTTAGTTTTATTGTTATTTTATTAATCAAAGAGAATTGCAGTGTGGTGAGTTTTTCTTCAGTTTCAAGTCACATAACTGATAATAACAATGTTTTCTGTCTCCTCTTACAGTGTTTTAAAATAATCTAAAGACACATCAGATTCTTCACTGCTGTCTGTGTTGGTAGATCAGGACTATTCAACTGTTGTCCCGGGGGCCAAATCAGGACCTCAAGTGATCCCAGTTCGGCCCACCAATTGGTCCATCTATTAAATAAAACTAAATTGTAAACCGTAAAACAACCTTACTTAATAAGAATAACTGTGGGGTGTCAGCCCCCCGAGCTCTTGGCTTTCAATAACTATGCACCCCCCACCCCCGAGCAATTTAGCTGAATAACCCTGTGTTAAGACACTGTAGCAATGCTCTGTTTAAATGCAGGCTTTCCCCTTTGTCATCACTTCCTGTTACTGTGAATGTGAATATCTTAACAGTTCATCTCAGTGGCATGAATTTCTACTTTGTAATGTTTCATTCAACCTTAATTTATACAGATTAGTCCCATTGAGCCTCAGGGACTCATTTACAAGAGAAACTTTAACAAAGAGTGATGACAACAATGGATAACAAAGACAACAATGGCCAATCATAAAGGATGCGTACAAATTTATTATTATTATTTTATGTGTTATGTTATATGCTATATATGTTATGTTATTAATGTTATCTTTCCAAAAATGCATTCATATTCATTACAAGCACGTGATGTCACAGGTACATCAATGTTTGCTCTGATTATTTTTAGTGCAGTGGTCACTGAGTTAAATGTGCTGTATCGATCACAGGACACCAGTCTGAGCAGTGTTGTGCAGCTTTGTCTTTACCTATTGTAACACAGAACTGACGTCTCGTTCAGAGTGGAGCAGTGTTTAATGTCTAAATATTCAGATGTCTGAATGTATTGTAGTTTTTATAAAAACATCAGCAGACCTGCAGCCATGCTGATCTGACAGTTCACAGTGTGACATGGTTGAGTGTTTATTTGTATGTAGTAAATTTGATTCAGGGAACACTTTAATCAACCAGGTATGAACAAACTTGGATATTTAATGACAAGTATGAAGAGCCTTTAAGATGGAAGGAGAGTTTGTTTGTTGTACCTGTGGCCGGGTCTACAGTTTTCTCAATCAAGTGGTCGTCTTGGTGAACCCACTCGCCGTTGCATTTGAAGTAGATCTGTGTGGCCGGGGTCGAGCGGCAGGTCAGAGTCACCGGCTTGTTTTTCACAATGTACTCGTCCTCCGGCTCCACCAGGAAGTGAGGTAACAGGTCTGAGAATGCAGCGGGAAGCGCTGCAGTGGCAGCATGCTCTGAACCTTGGAGAACAACAAAAACATAAAAAAACAGAAGAGATTTGAAAGAGATGCCGAACAAAAATGAAAAAGCTTTAGAGGCTTTTGAAGTTGTCAGTAAGGTAAGTAGCTGAGCCTATTTCCCGCGTCGCTGTTGTAACTTGCAAGCGAAAATGCAGCAAAGATCAAATGCACAGATTCAACGTCCTTGGTAAAATTTAGCTCAAACACATGCACGTAGAACAAAGAAAAAAAAACAGACAGACAGACAGAAGAAAGATAAATCTGTATGGCGCAGCGTTAGCCGTGACAAAGCTCAGCCTTGTGTGCTTCTGGCAGGGTCGAAGAGGCCAGCAGAGTCCGGCTCTTAATCACAGACCTTTTACCATCACCACTGATGGACCAGCAGCCATAAATCCTCCACGACTAGACCACTTCACATTGTGTTATCCTGCTCTCCAGTAAGGACTCTAACCCTCTCTACATTACACGACTGAGCAAAAAGGCACGGAGGCTAAAGATAACTGACAGTTAAAACAGCCTATTGTCTCAAAATCGCTCCCTGTAAGCTCCAGATGTTTTTAATTACTTGAGAAGTTGACAAACAGGACATGTGGAGGAGAAGTAGAGACGTACCGTTGTTGCACAGGGATACAGGAGAAGCTGCCTTTGCCTGGACAATTTGCTACAATTTACAGCAGACTTTCTGTGCCGCCTGAAAAATGTGCTAAACAAACACTGGATGACACCAAATTGCCTACAGCACACACATCCTTCCTCTATGAACACAGTTTCCCTGCCTCTAAACATATTAGGCTCGTATGAGAGATAGTGAAAGGACGTAGCGCAGAGCAGAAAGAGGGAAATAACCTCTTTACACAGCAGACACTCAGGGGAGATCAGTAAATCCCAAAATAAAACCCCTTTAAAAGGAGTGTAATATTAATTTACTGCCCTGAATCCAATATGGCTGACAGACCAGACATTAACAACCTTCTTCATCACTCCCTGTGCAGCAGGAGAGTCTCGCATAATGAAATGGCAACACTCATACTGACCTTTCTCTCTGCTTCGCCCAGCCTCCCCCACCCAGCCTTTTGTACATTATTGTAGCCGATTGAAGCCCCGGTCAGGGATAATATTAGGTTGTGTCATAAATACCAATATTTAAATAAAGACATCTGACAGTTGCTCTTCCGATACACAAGTGCCTTCCTCTTTTGTCTTTCACCCTTGTGCTGAGTTGCTAATTCATCAGGATGAGCTACAGTGAGGCAGGCCACCGCCGCTGAACCCCATTAATGTCTCGTGTACGTGTTTAACTCTTAATGAAAACTAAATGTTCTGTGTCCAATGAACGACATACATCACTTGCCGACACGTTTCCATTTCCTCCCTTTTTTTCCGCTAGCTCTTTTTGTTATTGCGCGCACAGATAAACATGTCAGCTCTCTACGCAGGACGGACACAGCGGTTTGACATTATTTACTATGTATGCAAGAGCGTTCCCGTCTCCAGCGTGGAGGAAAAGGCCACAGTTCATTGTGAACAGTGACTATAATTGCACTAAAGCGGAGCCAAAACTTTGTTAATAAACAGCGGAGGAGCAGTAGGTCAGGTTGTTTGAGAATGTGTTGGTCCTAATGATGGCGGCTTCTTCTAATAGGCTGGCTTCCAGCTTTGTGACCGCAGCCATTAGCCGTTTGGGCTGAACACCCCGCGCTCTCTGCAGACTATAGACGACAGCTCACTAAAACTGTGGGTGAGACCCAACTCACACCTGCCAGGTTAATCATCTCTTAAGAGACAGATGATGTTCAAGCGGACACGGAAGCCAAAGTCGCAGGAGCAGACTGACACGTTGCGAGAATAGCTTGATGTCGTTAACTCCCCGGTGCTGCTCATCTACGGGGTCACACTCAGGATGAACTCCCAACTTTTGATGATGTTCCCAATTTGTATTTGTGTGTGGGTGCAGAGCTGTATGCTTCATATGAGGCGGGGGTTATACGCTTTCCATTTTAGCGCATGTTCTTTAGGTTAATGAGGTTAAACACGTAATTTCTTTGGAGAAGTAAATTATCATTTTTACGGCGGGGCATTCCAGTCACGCACTACTTCAAGTCAAACCCATAATGAAGGGCTGATGGCTACGAAATTGGCTTAGATTATTGTCATGACACAACATACTTCAAAGTCAATGTGCACGCACACATGCACACAAACACACAGACAGTATAAGCCACTTAGCAGGCTTCTTGTGGGTCAATGCACAAATCAAACGGACTTACAGTAGCACTATAGGCGCTGTCGCACGTTCTTCTGAGTGTGATCAACTTCGGCTGTGATTAATAGTCAAAAGCATCTAAGGTCATGTCCAGACCATTGTTCACAAACAACAAACACTAGAAGCTAAATGTCTCCTTAGTTAGTCGTGCAGCCATTGAAAGTTATTTACTTGGAACATCAAAGCAGGACCACAAGATTATTCAGGAAAAAAAAATCATGATCTCAACTCTCACAAAAATGTGAGCTTATTTCTAATTAATGGCAAAGTCCATGCATGTGTATAACTGCACACTGCCAAAGATAAAAGAACAACAGTGTTTCTCATCAATGGAACTCATGAACCATTGGATGGATTGTAACAAAACCTTCAGAAAGTAATCATTAGGTGTACAGTAGTCCCTCGATACTTCATGGTTCGACTTTCGCGGGCTCACTGTTTCACAGGTTTTCAATGTAGGATTGTATACGACACACCATTGGCTGATTGACGGAAGGCGACCAACCAGAGCATTGTGCTCTGTATCTTGGGGCTGATTGGCTCAGTAACCGTGGCATCAGTCTGTCTGCTCTCTTTCGCCGTGCTCTTTTAGAGCGTTTAGTGTTTAGAACATTGTTAAGAACATTGCAAGAGTGTGGAAAGGGTTTATAAAGCCTTAAAAGATGTATAAAATAAATATAACGTCCCTACTTTGTAGATTTTCACCTATCGCAGGGGGTGTCTGGAACCTAACCCCCGCGATAAGTGAGACTACTGTACAGTACGTCTAAAACTGTTTAACCTGATTCAACATGGCTGCCACAGGTAATCAACCTTAGCAAACATAAAAATTGGTATAACACATTCACATTTACAAATACTGTCAGTGAGTTAGTTAGTAAATGAATAAATTAGGTGCACTTTCTATGCATGAAACCTTTTGATGATGCATCATGCTGTATCAACATCTGTTAGTTTTATCCTTATGCATGCTCAATAATCCAGGTAGAAAAATCCAAAAAAGTTCAATCTGGTCCTCTTGTTTTTTTGAATGTCCAGAGGACCAGATTGAACTTTTTTGGATCTGTTAGTTTTGTTATCCTAACATCCTCACAGCAACACAATAACAATTTTTAAATGCAATAAAAGCTAAGGAAGAATTTGATCTGCCTGATTGTTACGCATTATAGAGTTATGAACTGATAGACATTTGTTTCACAAGATCACCATTTGTATTCACCATATTACTACACTGAAATACTTGTTAGTTTAAATTCATCCTGCTTGCACCGTTATATTCTACCATGTTGTTTACACTCTCTCTTTAGGACGTCGTAAATATTATAATTACTTTTTCACCTTTTTGGTACTTTATTTTTGTACCCTTATTGCATGCTTTACTATTTCTTGTTTGATTATTCTTTGGGGCAGCACGGTGGCGCAACTGGTAGAGCTGCTGCCTCTCAGCGAGCAGGTCCTTGGTTCAAACCCCGGTCCAGGGGCCTTTCTGGGTGGAGTTTGCATGTTCTCTCCGTGCATGCGTGGGTTTTCTCCAGGTACTCCGGTTTCCTCCCACAGTCCAAAAACATGCATGTTAGGCTGATTGGTAACTCTAAATTGTCCCTAGGTGTGAGTGAGAGAGTGAATGGTTGTTTGTCTCGTTTGTCTCTATGTGGCCCTGTGATGGACTTGCGACCCATCCAGGGTGTACCCCGCCCCTCGCACAGTGATTGCTGGACATGGGCACCAGCGACCCCCGTGACCCAAAATGGAATAAGCGGGTAAAGAAAATGGATGGATGGATTATTCTTTGATTTTTTTTTAGCGAGTCAAATCAGTTCTTCTCATCCTAAGCATTTCATTGTACTGTTAACCCTGTGTTAACCTGCAAGTGACAAATAAACACAATTTGAAATTGAACTTCATATTTGAATCCAAGGAACGATGTCCAACAGTGGTGTTCAGGAAACCCGACTGCATCCACGCAACAAATTTCTCCTCAGAAAACACAAGGAAGCTTGTACTCAGACTTGTTTTTACTTGTGTATTTTTTTAACTAGTTAAAAATGATTGAGAATCGCCATCCAGGCCTGTCACGATAACAAGTTTTGCTGTACCTTTTTTGACCACCGTATGGCAGTATAAGACTGTTTGAAGCGAAGGATGGATAGTGAGGGAGCGAGCAGCGTGTCTCTAAGAAAAATGGGAGGGAGGCTCATTGACGTGACATGGGCTGTCTCTCCTTTTTTTTTGGTTTTCAAAATCGTGGACCCCCCCGAGGTCGGCCTGTTGGCTTAGCTTGTAGCTTAGCTTCTCAGCTTAGCTGCTTTTAACAATACAAAAACGCAATTTTGGACAGTTAAAACAAATTTTAAAGAGAAAGAGAACGGGAGGGGTCAGGGAAGAGCACCAGAGCTGAGCCTTTTGTCATCCAGTGTCTTCAGTAGAAAGAGAGAGACACGAAGGAACGATACAGCGATAAATGAAAATGAAGTTGATAAATTTCATTTAACATGCGATTAATTGATTTATAGTTTATCGCGAAAGGTCTATTGCTATCTCAATTTGCACAAAGACAAATCTTGATTCACATCACAAACACTGAGAAGCCTCCTGAACAGCTGCAAACATTTAACGCATATAAAAAAAAAAAAAACTTGAAGAGCTTTCAAAAAGAAAGGCACAAAGTCTGAACTCATATTTCCCTGCAGCTGCCTCTTCAGGATCAATTTAGCCGCACAAACACGCACATACACTC